GATCATCAGACCAGTTGATCATTAGACTAGCAGATCTACCTACAGACCACCAGATCATCAGACCAATTGATCATTAGACTAGCAGATCTACTTACAGACCACTGGATCATCAGACCAATTGATCATTAGACTAGCATATCTATTTATAGACTACTGGATCATCAGACCAATTGAACATTAGACTAGCAGATCTACCTACAGATCACTGGATCATCAGACCAGTTGATCATTAGACTAGCAGATCTATCTACAGGCCACTGGATCATCAGACCAGTTGATCGTTAGACTAGAAGAGATATCTAGAAACCACCAGATCACCAGACCAGTTGATAATTAGACTAGCAGATCTATCTACAGACCACTGGATCATCAGACCAGTTCATGATTAGACTAGCAGATCTACCTACAGACCACCAGATCATCAGACCAGAGGATGGGTCAGCAGAGCACTGCTTCAGTTCAGAGCAGACCCCTCGCATACCGGCATATTGATATGAGCCGTGAGCAGCGGTGAACTCTTCCCCTCATGCAGCACAAACACCTTGATGATGTCTGAGATGCCCTTGTCACTGGTGCACTCCACAAAGGCCTCAACAGGGTAGATGAGTCCAGGAACCAGCAGCGGGATCCTCATGTACGGGTTCCTAACCCTGTACAGTTTCTCGTCGTACAAGAAACTGATGGCCAGGTTCATGACAGACTGACAGGCTGCCGTGTTTTGAATGTTCAGGGTCAGCTTGAAGGACGGACCCAGGCCCTGGACCACAGCGTTCATCTTGAGTGGCTCAGACAGGCTGGATGAGACCGGGGTCAGGCTGGACTCCAGAGCTTTCACATAGGCTCTGGCTGCTGCCAGTCTTGTGCGGCTCAGGTCCATCTGGAAGGTCCGGTGCATAGTCAGGCCATTCTCACGCTCCCTCAGCGTCTGGTCCACATACAGCTTGGTCTTCTTGGGGACATTGAGGCGGATGCTCTGGGCCAGGGGAGGGCCGGGGGCACTGTCCCGGTCATCAAACACTGCCGTCCTTTTCAAGATCTTAACTATCAGTCCACCTCCCTTGGTTGTCATAATGAGGGTACCATCCTCTCGACCGTACCGACCAAAGCAGATGCTGGTGACTGTGTCCGGAGTCTTGATGATGCTGAGCAGGTTCTTGTCCCGGTACAGATGCACTTCACAGTTTGCCAGGCCCACTAGAACCCCCTGAAAACCCCTGGTAGGAAGGTCCATGGCAGCCATGGTGGTGATGGGGGCTGGGAGGATGATCTTCCACAACTTCTTCCCCTGAAGACCCAAAAACAAACATTAGTTTTCTTTTTACTCTGACCTCCTGTTTGAGCAAAAAGAGACTAGACCAGGACCCATCTTCATAAGTTCTGTGGGGTTCTGGTCCTGTCTTTAAATCTTCTGACATTTCAGATCATTTAACCAGAAGACCAGAGTCTACCTTCTGAGTGAAGCCCTGCAGACTCTCATTGGTACAGCCGACCACCACATTCTTCCCGACCCTCACCAGACCGGCGGGGTGGGACGACAGCTCGATGCAGTACCTCGGTGTGTCCGACTCTCTGAACGACACAAACACCTGTCAGTTCACGTTACAGTCTGCAGGAGCAGGTGGGCGGGACCACAAGCTACAGGTGCATCTTACCTGCGCAGGATGTAGATATTGCCATTTCGACACGCTACTGTAATGCGAAACTCCACGTCGAACTGACCCGTCACATCCATCATGGTGGGAACAGCAGGCAAGGACATCTTCAACAGACAAGGGAGGTGAGCTATTTAAAGAGACCCAAGATCCTGGTAGAACCAGATAAGACCAGCTGACAGGGGTCTACCTTGGACAGGATGGTGAAAGCTTCTGGGTCCAGGACAAAGATTTTGCTGTTCTCTGTTCCAATCACCAGACAGCTAACTCCATCCTCGTCTGCTGTGCTCTTCTTCAGGGTCCCGATGCAGGTGATAACTGTCTGAAACAAAAACCAGGACCACAGACTTCAAATATGCACAGAGGATCCAGGGTCAATTCACCTCACAAGACCCACAGAGCATGTGGAGAGGCATTAAGTGTATAACAGATTATAAAATCAGGAGTGAACAATGCCCTAGAGAACCATCTCTGCCTGATGCCCTCAACAAGTTCTACGCACAGTTTGAAGACCAGAACAGACCACCCAGCACCAGACTCACCTCACCGCTGGATGAAGAGATTCTCAGTGTAACCTCAGCCGAAGTGAGGAGTACTTTCAGGAGGCTTAATCCCCACAAAGCAACCGGCCCATACAACATCTCCAGGAAGGTGCTGAAAGTCTGTGCCGATCAGCTCTGCGAGGTGCTGGCAGACATCTTTAACTCCTCACTCACCCTGGCAACAGTTCCCACAGACCTGAAGACCGCCACCATCATCCCAGTGACTGGTCTGAATGATTACAGGCCAGTGGCCCTCACCCCGACAGTCACTAAATGCTTTGAAAAAGTCATGACCCACATTAAAACAAACATCAACGAGGACCCTCACCAGTACACATACTGAATCGATCAACAGAGGACGCCATCTCCTCTGTGGTCCACACTGCTCTCACCCACCTGGAGCAGAAGGACTCCTTCGTCCATATGCTTTTGTGGACTTCACATCTGCCTTCAACACCATGATCTCCCAAACTCTGATGGACAAACTATCCACACTAGAACTAAGACCCTCCATTTGCAACTGGGTCCTAGACTTCTTAACAAACAGACCACAGTCAGTGAGGATCCACAACTTCTCCTCCTCCACCATAACCCTCAGCACTGGCTCTCCTCAGGGATGTGTGCTGAGTCCTCTCCTGTTCACTCTGCTCACATGTGACTGTGCACCTACCCATCCAGGCTGTCACATTGTAAAGTTTGCAGATGAAACAGTGGTGGTGGGATGCATCACAAACAACGATGAGTCCAGCTACAGGCAGGAGGTGGAACACCTGGAGAGCTGGTGCAGGAAGAACAACCTTCACATCAATGTGAAGAAGACAAAAGTGATGGTTGTGGACTTCAGACGGAACAAACACACCTACCTTGCCCTGAACATAGGAGGATCTGCGGTGGAAGTTGTCTCCAGCTACAAGTACTAGGGTGTACACCTGAATGACAACCTCAGCTGGAGCAACAACACCACCAGCCTGATGAAGAAAGCTCATCAGAGACTCTACTTCCTCAGACGGCTGACGAGCTGGTCTGGAAGCTCAGTCCTCACCTCCTTCTACAGGTGTGCAGTGGAGAGCATCCTGTGCTCCAGCATCAACGTGTGGCATGGAGGCTGCACAGCTGCAGAAAGAAAAGCTTTGCAGAGAGTGGTGAAGGCTGCACAGAAGATGTTGGAGTCAGTCTCCCCACTATCACAGACATCTACACCTCCAGATGCAGGAAGAGGGCCACCTGCATCATGAAGGACCCTACTCATCCAGCGCACACTTTTTGTTCCACTCCCCTCAGGAAGGAGGTTGAGGAGCATTAAGTGTAGAACCACTAGACTGAGGAACAGCTTCTACCCTGAGACGTTAGACTCATGAATCTCTAACCAGGAGAATCACTGTGAAAAATCACATCATGTTTCTGCTGATCTGTTTCATGTTGCTGCTGATCTGTTTCATGTTGCTGTGTTCATTCGTACTCATCTGCTCACACGGACTCGTTTGTGCCGCTGTTCGGCGTATTGTTTTGATGCTATTAGTGCTTAGTATACTTTTATTAAAGTTTTTCTTAGTTCATATGACGTTCTATGACATGGTCGAAGCACTGGATGCTAAGGATTATTGTGCTGCACTTTTCTTAGACCTGTCTAAAGATTTTGACACTGTGGATCATAACATCTTGTGTCATAAGCTCTCAGAAACTGGTTTCTCAGAACACACTATTGGTTGGTTCTCTAACTATCTCTCAGACCGGAGGCAATGTGTTCAACATAATGGCACTTCCTCCAGTTATTTACCAGTCAACAATGGTGTACCACAAGGCTCAGTCTTAGGACCCACCCTCTTTACAATCTACATAGGTAATGTAGGTCAGAGCATCCCTGATGCATCCATACATTTCTATGCTGATGACACAGTTGTTTATTGTCGAGCTAAAACAGTCGATAAGGCTTTCCAGCTTTTGAAATCTGCACTTAACATCATCCAGTCTGATTTGTTCCACCTCAAACTTGTCCTAAATGCAGATAAAACCAAAGGGATGCTTTTTTCAAATTCATACATCTCCTCCTACATGTCTTTGTGAGTGCAGTTACAGCGTGCGCTCTCAGGACATCATTACCTGCAGTGTTCCCTCAGTGAGGACTGAACTAGACAAAAGGGCCTTCTCCTACTCAGCAATGTTTCCTGGAATATCTTGTAAAAAGATCTGAAGTTCTACAGTGACTGGTCTGAATGACTATCGGCCAGTGGCCCTCACCCCGATAGTCGCTAAATGCTTCGAAAAACTGGTCATGACTCACATCAAAACAACCATCAACATCAACGAGGACCCTCATCAGTATGCATACCGTGAGAACCGATCAACAGAGGATGCAATCTCCTCTGTGGTCCACACTGCGCTCAACCACCTGGAGCAGAAAAACTCTTACGTCCGTATGCTCTTTGTGGACTTCACATCCGCCTTCAACACCATGATCCCCCAAACCCTGATGGACAAACTATCCACACTAGGACTAAGCCCCTCCATCTGCAACTGGGTACTAGACTTTTTAACAAACAGACCACAGTTAGTGAGGATCCACAACCTCTCCTCCTCCACCATAACCCTCAGCACTGGCTCTCCT